TCTTTTCGAACATTACAAAATACTTGTTCGACAGCTCGATACTTAATAGATAAATATAATGTAGCACCATTACATGCTGTTATTTGGGGATTATTACGTAATTACACAATGTGTATTACAAATTTAGAGGAAAAAACAAAAATTATAAAAATATTTAACGAACATCTGCATTTACCATTTTTTATGAAAAATAAATTTAACTTTGTTAAACAAATTATTCATGGTTCTAAAAGTCAACTTGATCTTGAAATTGATGAATTAACTGACATAGTTAGTGAAGCTGAAACGTTAATTTGTGATGCAATGTGTGTTCTTGTTATTAAATTAGTAGAACTTCAAATATCTACTAATGATGTTGGAGATTTTATTCTTGGATTTATAAATAAGGTTTTATTAAATCAACGACCATACTTAAAGAATGAACTCGATAAACTCTGCAAATTAATACAGTCTACCTCGGGTCCATTATCAAATGAAGCGAAAATAGAAATTTTAAGTGTTAAAACACGTGAATTACTGTATGGTGAAATAACAGACAAGAGAATTGAAATGTTATCAATACAAATTGAACGTTGTGGAAATAAATTATATATTAAATTACATAAGTTCATTCAAGATCTTGCAATTTTTGATTTAGAAAAACAAGCTAAAGTATTAAAAAGAATTATAAATATATTTCAAATTTTTGGAAACTTATTTGAGAATATTAAATTTCAACGGTCGGAGGTTTTTTATACAAAAGAGCTTTGGTATAAAACACAAATATTAATTCGTAAAATAAATTCATGCAATGTTGTTTTACCTTCGATTCAGACGATTAGCCGAAGTTCTCTTCTTCAATTTTATGACCTTTTACAACAATTATTTGATACACTGGAACAACGAAGTGGTGGATTTGCAATTCAGCATGCATTAAAAAAGCCACTTATTACAATAGTTACTAATTTAGAAAACATTTTATCAAAAATTAGAGGTTTGTATAATAAATTTAGACAATCAGACAATACAGATATGTATCAATTAATTCAGCAAACTCTCAATCAATTTTTAATCGTTGCTGGTTGGTGTGCGGTGATGTGGAAAACTACTGTTATCACATTGAAACAACAGACAAATGTTTATTGTGTTGATGCAAGAAAAAATTTATTGTCCATTGCACAATTTCGAGTATGGGATATTAAATTAGCAATGTGGAAATGTTTACCAGAAGCTATAGAAAAGCTTGAAATAGCAGCAGCTGCTATTGCATCAGATGATAGAATTCGTTATGATGAATGTACAAAGTCAATCCGATCGATACGAAATGTTTTACAAACAGAGTCATTGAAGAATATTCAACGACAGTCAATGATAAAACAGATCGAAACACATGGAAAATGTTGTGATTGGTTACAACGATTAATTTATGATTCATCTGCAGGACATTTCATTTCACTTGAATACGCTTTGAATGAAAACTTCAATGTATTTTTGGAAAATTTTGAAGCAAACGAAATTGATAGCCCATTTTCGCTAATATGGATTGGACTCTTTTTTACTTCGATAGCTAAAAGTGTACCTAGTAGAGTTTATGTACGTATGATAAATTCTAATTTAGAAACTCTTCAAGAAAGAAATGATCAACAATTTATAGATTGTGTATTAGAAAAAGATGATGGACTTGATCTTACATTTTGCATTGATACAGAATCAATTGAGTCAAGAATTATATTAAGCATTACACAATTTAACAAATCAAAGAAAGAAGCCAATCAAGCTGTTTTGTTATGTAATGTTGATGATTCATTTTCGTTGCTGAATATTCTTAGTGCACCATTTAAAGCAGTGGGTGCTTCAATTTCACAAAATCAATTTGAACCACCAATTTTAAGTCAAGATTTACTCTTAGAACAATCTAAAGAAGGTTTGAAAGAAAAAATTTCACTTATGTTAACCACAATTGCATCTTTTGATTGGAATTCGCATACATTTAACGTTCAGACAATCACTTCACAACAAACTCATCAATGTCAGAAAGAAATGGAAATATTATTTGCAGATTTATTGAATAAACTTTCTTCTTCTGCAGTGAAATATTCGAATTCAAAAAATAATGGGCTGATAGTTCATGAGTTGCTACATACATTAAATAACACTATTAATAGTTTATATAAGACTCAACGAGGGGAATTGAATAATAATGCATTGAAAACTATTTCAGCCGAAATAGACAACAAAGCAAAAATGTTTAAACAAATCTCATCAATTAGATCAGAAATAATCAATGAAATAACTGAACGTTGGAAAACATCACTCCTCGATCGTAAATTATTAAAACGAGTTTTACAATTACCAATGGAAGTTAGTAATACCATTCCATTTGTCTCTAAAGAAATTCAAAATATTGCCCAGAGTCAAAAAGTTGAAATAGATAAGAAATTAGAAACACAAATACAATTGATAGATTCAATAAATCATTTAGTAACCGTTTTTGTTAATAAAGCATATTTAATTGCAATGAATAATGATTCTATCGATAAACAACATAGTCAATCACAAGTCGAATTCTTATCAAAAGTTGTTGAAGCTATATGTCATAATTGGTGTATCGAATTACAAATAACAAATGAAGATAATCTTCAACTTTATATTAATGAAGCAGGAGAATTGGATGAATCTTCATTTTATAAAATGTACGATATCATCGATCAAGTTAAAAGCATTCTGAAAATTGACGATAGCACAATTAATTATACTAATATACATACAGCAATTAACGTTGCTATTGAAATTTGTCAAAATGATTCGAAAAAAGCTGATAAAAGTGATCCAAGTATTCGTAACGACCGACAACAATCTACGCTAGATGCATTCAAAAATTCACTTTTAAACAAATTGTGTGAAGCAAAAAAATTGTTAGAAAAAATTCTAGTAGAAGCTCGTCAAATACGACCATATCCAATCTTGATGATTGAACTAGCTCTACAAAAGCTAGCAAATATTGAACATTGGATCGATATTTTGAAAAATAGAAAGGATTTATTGAAAACAGATGAAGAACAAATTTCTATATTAATAAATGCTGTAAGTTTGACAGAAGAAAAAATTAAAAATCTTAAATCTCATAGCAAAAGTAAATTAGCACAACTTTATAAAATCGTACAACGAGTAAATGATTACGCCCAGGATATGAATCTTTGTCAAATAATCGAAAAATTGCATTTATCAGATAAAGCTAATAATGTTGATGAATCAACAATTAAGAAACTAGAAACTTCTCGTCAAGAACTGCGAGGACTATTTGACTTATCAGACGAAATCAAAATATTGGAAAAAACTGATTATTTGACACAACTAATCGATGAATCATATGCAGATTGGGGATGGTGGCAGTTATTAAATATGTCTGTATTGTGGTTGCATTCTAAAACACCTGAAAATCTTGAACAATCTCAAAGTAAAAAATTATACGCAGTGGCAGCTACTTTAAATGATAAAGTGGCTATGGAATTTTATCAAAGAAATCTAATCTCTGAACAACGTACTACATTTAATGCAAATGAAATTAACAAGCTATTTGAAATTATTGTACATGAGCATTCAAACCATGTCATTCAACTTGGAAGTCAATTAAGAAAAAAATTTAATGAAAACCTAATTACTACTACTTGGAATGATATAAACACTGCTTGTCAGCCAATTGCGAAAAAAGATATAGAAAAGGAATTGAATTTTGTCAATTTATTTCGTTTTGTTGAAATTCTTCATAATCGCAAACGTGATTTAGACAACATTACGAGTAGTTTTCCTTGGCATGCATCACATATATTACAACCGAGACTTTTACGTTGTTCAGATTTGATGACTTGGCTATGTCCAGAATATTTAAATGCTATTTCAGGAATTGTTATGAACGAAATCAATGCAGAATTGTTTATTCAAGATTTAGAAACATCAAAGCCGAGCTTAACTTTTGAACAAAGATCAGATCTTTATGAGCCTCGTTTTAATGAACCAACTAGTAAATGGCAAAGCAATGCGTATATAATTCGCAAAACTATAGAAAATCCAACTTCAACAAATTTTATAATTTCTTCTAATCAAGTAAAATTGATAGCTGATTTTTTATTGAATTTGTTAATAGAAACAATTACAATCTCAAATGATAGTGGAACAAAAAAAACACCATTTTTATCTTTACAACATAATATACCTTTGGAGATAATTCTTGGGCTTTCTATGGCCAATATTGTAATCTATTTCTATGAAAATACTGTGCATATGGAACAGGAAAAAACATGTGTGCGACTACCTAAAGAAACTTTACATGAAGCAAATCTCAAACTATGGGAAGAATTAAAGAAAACTGAAGATGAAGAAAAAGGAATTCAGACAACAATACACTCTTTAGATCTTGATATAAAAGAGACAAGAGTTAAGATACGGATTGATCAAGATCTTAAAGCTGCGGGTGCATCAGGTCTTGAGGAAGGTCCTGAAGAGTTCAAAGACAGGTTAGACAAATTGATTAAATTAAAGGCTGAAAACGAGAACAAGTGTGAAAACATTATCAAGAAAAAGAAAGAATTGGATGACAATATTAAAAAATGTGAAACGCAACACTGTCTACATATCCAGCGCGAGATTTTCAATGTAATGAATCGAATAATTACCGAAGTTAAAAACATAATAATGGATCTTTCAAATGCTGTTTCTCTAAATGTATCACACTCGAATAACAAATTCGATCAAATTCTATCAAATCTTCTGAATTTATTTAAAAAAATTCACTGTTCTAGTATCCTTACAACTAAGAATTTAGACCAAATGATTAGTGAAAAATTACAACAAATTTCTAATTTATATTCTAAAGTAGAAAATATTTTACAAAAATTAGAAAATAATGATCCATTACGAATATTTATTGATTGGACGCTAGCATCTATACTAGAAGGATTAATATGTAGTACTACAAACATAAAAGTGTACGATAAATGGCAAACAAATTTTAAAAATGATCAATCGTATAAAACTGCACAGACATGTCGTCGAATTAAGAAATTTTTAAGAGAAACAATTGAAAATGCAATAACGACTGATTTTAATGTTTCAATTGTATCAGAACTTCTAGAGAAATCAATTGAAATGTATAAAATATGGGACACTGAAATAGTTAATATTTCACACTCAACATGTGACAATCATATTTTAGAACGATTTGTACATATGATTCAACGTTTTATATTGCAATGCGTAGTTTGTCTAACAACTCTAGCAAAATTTTATGGAATAACGTTAAAAGATGAACAAGAAAAAATATCTGATTATACAAAACAAATTTTATTGTCAACTAATAGAAGTCAATATAAGTGGATTGATTCTGGTAAAGAGTCAGATCTATTAGCAGCTATCGATGGTTTACGTCATCAACTTCCACAAGTGCAAGCTGCTTTATCAAGTGTATTTATATCAACAACAACTGGAAGTCTATTATCACCACTCTTACTTAAGAGTGATTTGGATCAATGTCTCTTCGATATTGGTGATACAGTTTTACCATCTGCATATTTATTGAAAAATTTTAGTGAAAAGTGTTTACTTTCATTTGTGGGACATGATATTTCACAAATCAGTAAAGTTTATTCAAAAGATATTGTCGTTCTGATTCATAAAATGATTGAAACTACGAGTAAAATTGCCAAGATTGAAATGAGTATATCGAAAGTAGATGCAGCGGTCAATGTCATTCAACATATCGATATTTTATTACAATTCATTCAAACTGGAAAAGAGCTAGAATTAGTTGGTCGTAACGCTCGTCCCGAATTACCATGGAATGTTTTAAATAGAGCGTCTGACATTGTTGGTCGTGAAATATTGAAATCAGCGACTGTAGCAACTGCGAAAACGTTTTCGGCAAACATTTCTAAAGTAATTGCATCTTCGAAAATAATTGCTTCATATGTACACAGAAATGAAAATACACCAGGTCAACAGATTTCCGAAAGAGACACCAATGGATCGTGTAAATTACGTTATGCTTCATTACGCCTATGTGATATTGCTAGAAGGTCTGACTATTTAAAGCAATTACTCTGTCGAGAAAATGAGTTGTCCGACTTAAGATCAGAATCTAATTTACAGGATCAGTTTGAAAAGTTACATGAAGCAGCTGTTATACTTGATAAAACTGTTAAAACAACAGGATGTCTACTCGTTGATCTAATGGATTGTTTTATTGAACGTGAATCATTACGTTGCATTACCAACAATTTTAATAATTTTGTCGAAAAAGTCACCATAGCTATGACAACAGAACTTCAGAATGAAGAAAAAGCTAAAGAATTGGTGTTAGATACTATAAAATTGGCAAGAGATTTTGAATCAGAAAGTATAATGAATGAAATTAAGAAATCACAATGGATAAAGATGGAAAAATACTTAGAAGATGTGAAAAAGACATGCACACAAATCGAAGAATTCCATAATCAAGCACAACAATGGGAACAAACATGCAAAGACGAGCTAAATAAAATAATAAAATGCCGTGATAAAGCTCGAAAATGGTTCTTTCAAAAGTTGTTTGGCGAAATAAAGAAAAAATGGGATGATTTTTGGGACCAAGAAAGAAAAAGAAAAGAAGAACATGAGACAAGGTTTCGAGAATGGCAACAAAAGTGTATAAAAAAAGCTGAAAAAATAGTTGAATTCATAGCGAAACTAAATTTGCTAGAGGATTATCCACAAGAATCTGTGAGTATAAATGAGAAAATTACTTCTCTATATTGCCAGGATGCTAAAGTAAAAAGTATTTTTCAAAACATCGTCACTGAACTATGCAGGATTGATGTGAGACTGCCAAACCTCGATCTTATCGATAAAAATATATTGAACAAGAAGATTAGGTTAACAGCCAGCAACGATCAAAAAAAAGAATCAATTCTTTCCCATATAAATTCGAAATCCTTGTATTTGATGATTCCTATAAATCAATTAAACAATCGGATCACAATTGAAGTAGATGGGGGTTCATGCGATTTCTTACTGACGTCGGTCCAATCAACATCCTTCAAGAAAACACTATTACATGATAGACTTACGTTGGATATTGAAATTAAGACTGAATGCTTATTCAATAAAGATCCACAGCATATGAATTGGGATGTTAGTCAAAGCATAGATGATAAAAAGAAAATGATAGAAGATCTAAACGAAAGTTTAAACAAACTCGAACAATACTTAAAGAACCCCGAAAAGGATCCAGCTTCGTTTCGCAGTAAAAACTATAATGGAAAAAATCCAGATGATTGCAAAGATTCAACAGACAATGAAAAAAAGAATGATGAATCCTCTATACAAGAACATGCTATGATAAAAGCATTGCAAATGATTACAACCAGATGGAAATGTAATAAAAAAATTCTAGATGAAATTCGTACAAACTTACAAACGATTTTAAAAGAACGGGATATAAAAACGCTTGATTTTCACTGTTTCAACAACTTGAATCAGATTTATGGAAGTATCAACAAGTACAACGACCAAATAAGCGTACATGGAACGAAAGTTATCGATACTGGAGATCTAGCGACAATGGAAAATCCAGAGACAAGGGAAAATCTAAAATATCCCATTTCTCAATTATATACAAATGAAATGAAATCAATACTCAACAATATGAATACAAAATACTCTGAGTTGCAAAATGGAATTCAATCGTCCCACACACTATTATGTATACTATTTGAACATGTGAAAATATTAAGAACTATTCGCGGAACAACATCCAATGATCTAAAGCAAGCACAACAACAGATACATACTAATTTTGCGTTTATGAAAGCATATAATAACGATAGAATAGTCGAAAATCGAATTCAAATACAATTCTTAAAACGTGCAGCAGAAAAAATTTTCAAGCGTAAACATGAATTAGTAATGCGTTTAAAGAAATGTTGCAGCTATTTAACTGTATGTCAGCCACAAACTTTTGACATTTTACCTGCCATCAACAATATAGATAGTGATGCATTTGAAACGATTGCATTTGTTCATAGAAAGAATAATTCTTGGCATATGGAACCAAAAGAACTTTCTGCTGATTTCGGCACACGATTCATATCAATTAGACGAAATAAACGATTAATGATAAATTTTCTTATAATTAATGCTGATAGTATACCGATTTCTATAAAGTGTACTGGAGAGACAAAGGAAAATTTGTCATTTATACCACCATCTTTTGATGTTCTACCTGGAGATTCCAGATTTTTTTCTGCTATTTTCACCATATCAGCACAAGAATGTAGATTGATGACAACTGGAATAATTGCTGTCAAAGCGCGTGCTGGTAATGATCAACATAAGCCGATAGGCAATCTAAAAGTAACAGGTATTGTCGTGTATTCAAAAGTTGAATTATCAGAAAAAACAATTGAATTTGGCGACTTAGTTTGTGGAAGTGGTATTCACAATAAAATTTTGACGATAAAAAACAATGGTAGTCTGCAAACTAGGGTACGTCTTGGTGTTAAATGTTTAAGAGAATGTTTATCTGGATTAGAAGTTTCACCGACAGAATTCATAGTTGCTTCAAAATCAACAAGTAGAGTCAGCATTATTTTGCGTTGTGCAGATCAAATGGATGAATTGCAAGCAGAATTAATCGCAGTTTCCGATGGCGCTGATCCGCAAAAACTACCGATAACAGCCAGTATTCAAGAGCCAGAATTCAGAATTCATTTACCATTTTCAAACGATCATTTGGAAATAGGAGATGAAATAAATCTTGATGTTCCATTAAATGAAGCTCGACTTGTTACATTTATAATTAAAAATTTGAGCAATATGGATTTACATGCTATTACATATATTCCAAAGGAAAAAAAATATTGGATGAATATTATCGAGGATATTATTACCATAAAAAAGAAGGGACAAGCAGAAATTCATCTGTGGATTTATGGAAGAAAGAAGACAAGTTCGAAGAGTTTCTTAAAACTATTAATTGGTTCGAAAGAAACAAAACTGAAGATTTGTATAATATGTGGTAAAACAGATATAATAGCAAGTCTAAAACCAGACGTTATTTCTTTAAATGCTGATTTCTATTGGCTTGAAAAAGAACAACTTCTCGAAAATAATCGATTGTTACCTATTAATTCGACGTTAGAAATTCAAAATAAAGGACTAACAACATGTATGACACAAGTTAAATTAATAGAATCATCAAGTGCTTTTAAAATGATCGAACAAAATAATTCTTCAGTAAATAATAATGATAAAACAGTTGATATTCAACTTTCACCAAATATGAAAAAGTCATTGTCCATTTCATCTGATTTGCATCGTTTTGAGAATGGTAAAATCAAATGTAATATACAAAATCAAGATGGAACAACGAAGACTATTGAATGTGATATAAATATCAAACAAGGTCGATTATTTTGTAAAAACTATTGGAAAGATTTTGGAGAGATGGCATTTAATCAACAATATGTTTTCGAAACGGAACTTACAGCAAAAGGTGATCCGGTACATTTACTTGTCAATTATTTTCCTACATCACATTCTGCATTAAAAAGTGTTTCTGTCATGATCAATGAAAAATCCATTAAACCTGCGACAGATATATACATGCATAGAACATTAGATGAATTTATCGCATATAACAAAAATCAGGAGATTATTATTCAGTCTGAATCTAGTGTTACCCTAAAGGTTATTATTAAATTAAAAGATTTTGTTCAAACATCAAACGAAGCATCTAGATTTTTACAGGAAATACAAGTAATTTCTCTGCGAGAAATATTTCTTGGTCTTGATCAGATGGTTTATAAATATCGTCCATTCTGTTTTTTGATATCAGGTACAATAGGTACATCTCAATCAAATATCACGTATTCTGATGTTGTGTTCAAAACTTTGAACGAACTATTTACTAGTATAGCATTGATCTCTTGGGACACATTAGCATGTGTATTAGATACATATCGAAGCTCAACAAAGACCAATGAGAAGACAAAAGCTTTACTCGAGATTAACCACATACTTCAAAACTCATTTCACAACAAACCAATACTAACTGAATCGAATGTAGGCGAACTTATCGATGAAATACGAAAATCTATTTCAGGTATAAAATTAGCGCATTATTTCATTCAAAAGGTCATTTACACATGGAATATTCATCCGGTTATAACACTACCATTATCACAAGATACGATCGAAGATTCACTCGGTTTAGCAGCTGCATGTTTATCAACTCAGCTAATTAAATCAGATCAACAAGAATGTCAATTCATTGATATATTGTCCTTACTTCGTGTTACGACAAAGTTTAATCAATCTTCAGAACTATCATTTAATCAAATGATAACAATACTTAATGCTACTTTAAGACCATCATCAAAATTATTTGAAATATTTTCGAATTTTTTGAGTTACGGTTTTAAAATTCTTACTGCTTCAGTAGACAAGGAGTTAGACTATATTGTACAGGAATGGCCATGGAATACAAATATCTTGAAACAAACAGCAATTTCAACTTCCAGGGCAATATCAGCATTATTTTTTGACCAAGACAAAAATAAACACGAAAATGCAGAAAACGCTATTGAAGATAATTTAGCAAGTTTTTTCAACGTATTCATACAACAACTAGAACCTGACTTAAGTTTATTATGGAAATCTTGTTTAAATTTGAATACAGCAGATACAATTTCAATATCTGAATCACTGCAAATAATATGTAATATGATACCAGAAAATTTTCAAGTGAGACAAGAAGCTTATCTACTTGCAGATATTGCTAAAATATTGTTAAACTATCGTGCACTTCCTGAACAGTCATTCGATAAACTCACAAAATATTCAATCGATCTTCTGGATTGTCGAACTGATGAAATTCGTGCTATTTGGAAAGAAAAGAAGCCTCGATGGCAAGATTGCATCATTAAGTTAATTGAATATATTTTCGATCCACCATTTGTTGTAAAAAGTTTACTTACAAAAACTTATAGATTGCCAATGGATGAAGAAGAACTAGAAAATGATATTCGTCGAGCAGTTGGACATCAGATTGAAGACGCATATATAAAAAATACAGCAAAAGAATTGTTCATACTCAAGGAATCATTAACAAATGAAAATAGTTCAAACATAATTAATACTACGAATAACTTTATTATACATTGCAGAAAAATTGGTTTAATAGCATCATCAGAACGAATCATTTATATAAATCGAGCATTATTAGCAGTAGAAAAATTGCACAACTATTCTCAAACATATGATTATTCAGCGATTGATATTTGGTTTGAATTAGTTATCTTATGTGGATGTATATCAGATAAATGGCGTAAAACACCTTTATGGTATGCGTCGGAAACATTATTTCAATTCACCAAGAATCCTTCGATTGAAAACACTTTAAATATTTTTATTCAAGGTCTTTCTCATATAGCACAAGAAAACCATTGTACTGAATTTATTGACCGATTCCAATCTATGGTATCATTTTCTCAAAAGAACTACAAAGGTAAACTTGAAACAATTTTTGCTGCTTTTGGTTGGCCATCAAATGAAGTTATTAATGCGAGAAACGAATATGATTTCCTACAATCACTTACAAAAGTAGCATGTAAAGATATTTCTATAGTAGCAAAATCAATACTTTCTTTATGGCAAAATTATAAAACTTTGTCAACTATAACATCAATAAGTGAGCGTTTTCAATCAGTTTTCTTTACTATTATTGAAGTAGCAATAAATGAAGGTCATCAAATATGTGAACAAGATTTGAAACAACTTGTTCATGCTATCAGTTTATATGTATATGAACCAAATAACCAACTTTTAAATGCAATTCGTTCTTCTTCTTTGATACTTACTGCCGTAAATCTTCATCAAAATTTATCAAAAAATCAAGATACACATCTTATACCTAATCATGATAATCAAATTTTTCGCAAACCTAGATTTTTTAGAGAAAGTTCAATTTCTTTCGATAGAGAAAAATTATCGAAATACAAACCTTCTTTTTCTTTTCAAAATGAAATATATGATAATCCTAATCAATGGTTAAAACATATGATAAAACATGATGAAGTACAGTCGAATGTTATTGAGTCAATATCAACAATAACGCTTTCAATGGATAAAACTGAAAATAATAATCCTGATTCTGCTGGTTCCAATAAACGATATGAAAATGCTGAAAAAGATGCCAATGAGGTATCTGAGACTTTAAAACAAATTGAAACATATTTTTCTAATTTATCGATCGATAGAAATTTGACAGAAGAGTATTTACTTGATAGTCTTATTCAGTTATCTGTGATTGTTTCGAAATGGTCACGAAGTTTTACAAATATTTGTTCTCTTATTCAAAATGATAAGCAAATTAATGATAAAAATAACAAATTAGCATTTCAAATTATAATTGATGGAATAAATTTGTTAAGATATTTATTAGGATTAGAAACAAACTTGGCTATATTTGTTAATGATCCATTAACACAATTTGTTCAAGAACAAATAAACATATTGAAAACAAAACTTTCATCATTACCAATTCATATGTTATCTGAAGACCTTTCAGTTATATTTCATGATTTACGTCTATTTAAACGAAAGACTGATGACGACGATGATACTAATTTAGACTTAGTTGGAAATATATTCAAAAAGACTGATAAAACCAATCTCAAAACTGGTTTTGATTTTGATGATCCATTTGAACATTTGAGACATGGAGAACAAGAGAAAATATTCGAAAAGATTGAAAAC